GGGGGGGGGGGGGGAGGATGACCCATCAGTAACTTGCAGCCTGTCTGTGTTTGGGCTGAATGATTACAAATATAATATCTCTTCTCAATTCAACATATGTGCTACATCACACCTCTGTCTTTTAGAAAAGGCACATTTTATCTATAATAGCTACCCTGTCTGTTCTTCCTTTTTAGTTTCATAAATATTCCATATATTCTTCCACAAGCAGAGGCAGGTAAATAGAACCAAACTACAAGTCCTGCTTCAGTCTTTTCTAACCTTATTTATCCATGAGTTTAGAGCAAAGACTATAGGTAAAATACTGCCCTTACTGACATCAAGAGGAGTTTGACATTAAAATATTTCATAAGACCAAGATTTTACCCCACTTTTTTGTCCTTTCTGGGGCCTTATATGTCTTATCCATTCACAATGAATGTAGTACTTACTTCAGAAGCATACCCACTTATTTCAAGGGGGTTACTCTTAGAGAAAGGGGTTACTACTGGTTCAAGTACTATGGAAGGCAAATGGAACTGCAGACAAATATGGTTTCCTATGGGGGACAAACCCTGCATTCTCACCATGTACCTCCCATGCCCTCCTTGGAGCTGCATGGTATAAGAATAAAGTCAGAATTAAGGCCAGACTATACAACAAAACAGTATCAGAAAGTAATGCAGGCTGTGATGACAAAGAAGGACCTCAGCTAAAATAAATTACAATGCTTCAGCATCAGGTATTTGCTGAGCATACACAGGAATCAGGATTTCCCCCTTTTCTTAGTCAGCTATGACAACATAGCTATGACATCTAGAACAGCTATGCAATTTTTAATATGTTCATGTACTGAACTAGTATATGAACACATTTATCACCATTAGCCTTGTCAGAGATGGATATACAAATTTTCCCAGTATTAATTCTATCTGTTCAGTTTAAATGCTCTCAGCAAGATTAAATGCCCTCACATAGGCCACCAATGCTGTTTGCAATATTGAGGCACTTTTAAATCCCCTTAAAAGGTTAACTGACATGGAGCTAAAAGCAGTGTCAGTAGGCATGTGATCTGACAACTCCTAAAGTTGTTAGCATGATAGCAATGGGGTAATTTATTTTTAAAAAGCTGTAGGCAGCATTCTCTTTTGGGATGCAACCCCATCTAACAGCTACTCAAGACAATGGAAAGATTTGTACTAATATGAAAAGAAACTATATATCAGTCATTTCTGTATTTAATGCCTGTAATAGGCATATAGCATAGGTCATTTCAATTTTCCCAAGGCCCTGCTTTCCTGAAATCCTAAGCACTGTTGCATGTATATGTATATCCTTCATTGTAGGTATATTGTGAAATGAAGAGAAAAAGGCATAATCTTCAAGAAAGTAGTCTTGGAGGATAAAAAATTGAATGGATTTGGTACAAGTTTCTCTACAACACTGCCTGATATTCCAAAGAACAAATGCACAGAGAGAGGAATTTCCTTTGCATTAAAATGGGGAAAAAACGTATGTCAGACACACAGAGATGAGGGAAGAAAATCCACTTGATTCTGAATGAGAGTATATTTGAAAAAATTAAGTGAAGTAACTGTTGAACACCAGTTCCTTGTAGTGAAAAAATATTTATCCTCATAAATCAGTGCAGCTGATGTCAGGGTTGGCTGGGACTGTCGCAAAAACATTAAGTCACAGAAGTTCAGCTAGACAGAGAATGGGTTTAACTTGTGAATCCAAATTTTCATAAAAAGCTGTGAAACTTTCAGTACTGGCATTCATAGTTCTTTGGACCAAGTTACAATTTTGCACTTACTTTCCACCCACTCAGTATCTACTGAAATCTTGGCATCATTTCTCAGTATAGTTTTGAGTACAGAAAGGCCAGGAACAGGCCTCTGGAAGTAGATTCTGATTGCCAATGACCTTGGCTTTTTGATGTGGGAAAAATATGTCTCTATATGAGTGATTTTTAGATGATAATATTGCCATCACCCAAGAAATGTATTAAGAGGTCCATGCATAGTTGGTGGGAAAAAAATAATTGTGCCATTTGATTAAAGGGGTGGGGGAGGGGGACTTTTTTATCCAACATCAGGGTACTTCACACATTACTTAATATTACTTAGGCACATGTACAGTACCTCCTAAACAGGGAACTCTCGTTCAACATGTGATTTTTCATACTTCTTTCCACTAGCAGAGAGGACAAATTCATATCCATACTAGATCCCCTTAATTGGTAACTTTTAGGTGAAGTGATAACAAACCATCGAATCCAAATGTTTGTCTAACTTGCTCTTAAAAACTTCCAAAAATGAAGACTCCACAACCGCTATAGGTAGCCAGTTCCAATGCTTAACCACCCTTATAGTGAACAAACTCTTCTTAACAGATAACTTAAATATCCCTTGTTGCAACTTAAGACCATTAATTCTTGTCCCATCTTCAGTAGCCACAGGATCTATCAGCATCCTCTTTAAAAGCAACCTTTACATATTTATACACCCTTCAGATATTTATACCCTTTTAGGTATTTATGGTATGCATGTATAAAACATGAATACTGAAAGGGACCTATTTTAGACTGGACAGCTATAAGAAAATGTATACTATAACAGATAAAAACATGCAATGACCATGACCCTGATCCTGGAGTCCTCTCAAACAAAATACTCATTAACTTCTGATAGGAATTCTGTTTGATGTCAGCAGGATTAGACATTACACTTTTATAGTCATGGGTAACAAGTCAAATTTGGCAGAAGCAAGGACACAAAAACCCCACCTATTTGCCAGCATGTAACCAGCCAGAGAAGTACACAGTAAACCTTAAACGTTACATGGTCAGCAAAAACACAGCTTTTCCAAGCAACACCAAGTACTTTTTTCAAGTACTTATACTTGCTATTATGTTTTAATAAAACTTTCTTCAAAATGAGATCATGACTGAGCCTGAACTCCTGACAAAAAAATTCATTTATCGGATCATCCCAAATTTGCCAATCAAATTCTAGAACTACAGAGATATCATTTTTACTAGGTGCACAAGCAGCCCACTCTTTCTGAGAAAAGTTATACTGTGCATTAAGGGCACTTACATACACATGGTGGGGAGGCTGCTCCAACGCGCTGGAAATCCAGCACGTTGAAGAAGATTCAATTAATCGAGGTTGCTGAAGCCCATAAATTGACACGCTCTAGCAGCCTTGCGTGTCATGTGTATCAAAGGTGCAGCGCACATCTGTGCTAAGAAAATGGCAGCGGTGTGCTTTGAACTAAAGCACACAAAACCTTTTTTAGTTCAAAGCGCACCGCTGCCATTTTCTCAGAACAGGGACGCGCTGCGCTGCTGATACACGTGACACACAGGTGCCGCGTCAAAAGCCCATGTAAAAAGGCTCTATGGTACCATCACTTTAAGGTTAGGTATTTAGCTCTAGAATGTGTTCACATATGTCAATATAGCTGCGATATGCTGAAAAAGATAGTATGAACTCCATCATACAAGCAGTAAGAATGCCAACCTTTCCAAACATAGCAAAACCTGGCTAACTTGAATTAGTGGGCACAAACTAATTGCCATTTCCTAAGATTTGTGAATAAGCAAGTAATTAAACAAACTCATAAACAAATCAATAAGATAACATCATAAAATGGTGCTGTTCTCATTAAACCCTTCCTGTAGCATGGGCTGAGTAACCTTTTCTACTGGAACTTGCAAAAGTTGCAAATACTAAACTGCTCATAGCTGTGAGCCCCTTTAATAAATATCTAGAATCATGGTTGTTCAAAGCACATGTGTACAAAGCATCTTAGCCACAACTATCTACACTTAGTCACGTATATATGGTTACTGTTACTACTATTCACCTTCTTCATCCTCTTTAGCAATCCCCAGTGAATCACAAAAAGAGTAATTTTCTTTCCACTATTGCATTCACTACTGCATCAGGAAACATTTTGTGACAAAAATGAAACAGAAAGGAACTCAATAATACATGTGTTCTCCTGTTTTGTGAACAGGTTTTCATGAAGAGATAGGATTTGATTTAACTCCAAATGACTTAAAAAAGTATTACACAGACTCATTCATGGTTGTGGTGCCAATATTCCAGCTATCCAAATAGAGTGAACTTTACAAATTGTGACCCTCAGTGTCCAATAAGAAACAGGCCACTGAAGACACTGAAACCCCAACAAAATCATGAGAAAGACTTCAATAGGCACTAGAATGGGCTTGAAGCATCTTATGCCACATTCTCTAAAGTCGGGTGGAGTTACGGTTTATAACTTTACCCACCTCTGCATTTGTTCACAGAGCAGATCAAACCTTTAATTCAGTGAGAGCTGCATGGTGATTAGAGTTTTGAAAGTCAGGACACCTTCCAAAATAGGTGCACAGACGTTTAACTTTAAGTATGTATTTTCCAAGTTCCTGTACTTGCCATTATTTTTTAATAAAAATAATAAACCCATTAGGATAAAGTAAGCCTTCATGTTAAACAGTATACTCACTTTCCAGGAATGCAGAAAGACAGGAGTGCCTCACTTCGGCCACCCCACAGTTACTTCACAAATTTCTCAGAAACTGGGAAGTTTTTTCATGATTTAAAATAATCTACCTGTCAGGATGTTATGAAGCAACTTAGCTATTTTTTGAGGGTTTTCATGTTGTTCTGACATGACCAAAACAGTGTTCAGTACATCACTTGTTTGACAGAACAGGAAAGAAGAGTCCTCACCACTGAAAGCAGTGCAATTTTTCTCTGCAGGAAGTAACACAGTATAATGCAAGATTTCCTCATCATTCTGATGCGACTTTTTCTATTTCATAACAGTCTACACTGATAAGGATGAATTTTGCCTCTTCTCTTTCCTATTCCCTTCCCTGCCTTGGCTCACCATAGCCAGCAATCATTTCTTTTTTCTTCAGTCTCTGAAGACAGAGCAAGCTGGCTTCTCTGCTGCTATTATTACTACCCAAATCAAACGGACAAGAGATGTGACAAGGAACCTTCTCAAACCAGAGACCACAAACAGCAAGTCAAAGGCAGATCAGGCTTCTGCTTAAATCATGGAGGTGCCAAGCTCCAAATCTTTCAGTTCCCACTGAGTTTACCTTCTCAAGATTTTGAAATAATAATGCTGTTTGCTGAATGTTAATAACAAAATATTTGGTTTCACTCAGCTGGTCCCTATAAAATGACTGAAATTATTAATTTAGGGTCAAACAATTTGTCTTGAATTTAGCATTTTTATTGGACTTTTCCCCATGTATGAATTTTGTTTTATAAAAAAAAAAAAAAAAGAGCAAGCATCATTATCACCACTGTACAAATGAGGAAACTGAGATAGAAGGAAGTGAAGTAACCCACCTATGATCAAACAGCAAGACAGTGGCATACTTGAGATCAAAAACATAGATCACTTGACATCTCACTTTTACTCCTTCTTACTGGACTGCTCATGAGGAAGTTCACAAAAATAGCTCTCAAATGGATGCCTTAAAAACCTTAAGTTTCTATAGTAGCTACCACTTAAAACCATTAACCATTTTCCTCTGATTTAGGAAGAACTTTAAAGAAAAGGAATAATGCACTAACCTGTCTCCAGTTAGTGGGAGAATGACCTCTGCTTTTGTAGAGAACACTATATAGGATATTCTCATCCGGGGGCTTTAAAAAAAAAAAAAATGTACATTTTAGACAAAGGAAGAGGAAGCTTTGCATAGTACATTCACTCATAACCTTTTTGTTCTACTTTATTACTTTGTTTTTATCATCTCATTTCTAAAGAATATCCTTTCAAACTATAAACGAAGAAAGTGCAGGAATGAAAAAGGAATTAATGGGCTTTTAATGCATACATTTCTTGGCCTGGTATTTGGCAAAGTGAAACAGCAACATTACTGTCTTCTTCCTTGCCTTCTGAGACACTACAAATAAGTTAATCTGAAGGCCATTTAAGAGTCAATGCACTTCAATCAATAGTACACTTTGCAATGCACCAAGGCTTATTTTAAGTATAAATACACTTGCCAAATTATGAATGCATAAATATCTCAGAGATCTAAACACTTTTTTTTAAATGTACAACCCCAGTCCATGCAAACACAATTGGCTGATTTGGGCATGTTCAAAAATGAGGGGTTTTTTGGGGGTTTTTTGGGTTTTTTTGGTTTTTTGTTTTTTTTTGAAGTTAGTAGTTTGGCACCACTCAAAACATTTAAACCAAATTTAGAGCTAGTCTAATTGTAGTGCAAGGGTAGTTGCACTGCAATTACATGAAAGAAGTTGCACCCATTTATCCCAGCTCTAAATATAACTGTTTCATGTGTAACCAAGTTTCATGTCCAGTTTTACTCTGCACATGCTTCAGCATCCTTCAGTCTTGAAAGATAGCTCAATCATTTTTTTCAAAAGGAAATGGGTAAGTATACACCATAAGAAAGAAAAATAGCATTAACATGCATTTACTAAAAGATCATTCTTTTCTCCCCCGATTTCCATGCATATCTCCCACTCATGTTAAGAGGAATTATACATGTTATGAATGGAAGTCTAATACCCTAAGACTAGCTGATGCTGTGGCTGGTCAGGCCAGGAATTGTAGTTCTGCAGTTTCTGAATCATAACAAGTATCAGAGAACTTAACATTTGTTATTATTGTTATAAGATTGATAATATTGGCATACATATGGCAACTACATAGGTTAATGTCCCTAAAGATAAAAATCTGTATAGCTGTATTTCTTCAGTTTGTGGATGATAAATGAAAAAAAAATTAAAACAAAATAAGTATCAGAAAACTGATAATGTGAATATGTAGCAGATTGCCTGCAGGTTACTCTGTGGCCCAGCCCCTCCATTTAAATTTTGTCTAAAGAAAGGATGAAAAATCAGAACTTTACTCCTTTTGCTTGCCTCAAGCAGTTACCAAACAATAATCTAGTACTTGCTGTCTAAAACCCTTTGGCTTACACTAGTACCTAAACAGGACCGCAAGAGAAAGCTTCTTATTTGAGAGGTAATTGTTACTAAATGCTTCCCACAAAGTCACAGTGCAACTATCTGAATAACCTGCTCACCAAACACCCGTTTTAATTGCATTATCAAAGGGCTCAACACTATGGTGATGGGTCAGGCCCCATTAAAACATCAGATGGACCAGATCGCACTACACATCATAAGCCTGAAGCCATTGCAACAGTAAGTGTGATTGATGCTGCTGTTGCAGACCTACATCCTACTGGCCAATCAGAATAGAAAGCAGATGCACATATCACACTAGAACGAACTAATCCTCAGAATGAAACCTGCTGAAATGTTTTCACCACATTCTGAGCCAAACAGCCTCAGATAAGTCTTGGACAGTTCTCAGCTGTCCTTTTCACAACTAATTTGCTTTTAACTTCAAGAAAAAAATAAAGAACAGCCAGATTCTCATTTATATTAAATGATGCTATGCACACCTGTAACAACACAAAGGGGCCCTAAAGCTGATGTAAATGATTTATATTTACAGGGAGCTGTACCTTTAAGAGGCTCTCAGAAGCATCACTTGGAGCCAGCTGCTGTGTTCATGTTGCATAGTGCTGAAGAGTTAGACTGTGGGTAGAAGTGATTTTTGAAACATTTCCAAATGGGTTTGGAAATGTTTCAGCAGGGTTTTGTTTCAGCTGTGAGAGACACATCCAGTCCCTGTGGCATCCCCTTCCCTGGAGCATTTCAAAATTGCTGCAGCTGCATGTAGCCACAGCTCCTCAGCCAGAAGGCACTAGTTCCCCTCTCCCCCATTTCCCCACCATGGAGAGAGAACAGGGAGCACTGGAGTGAAGAAATAAACAGGGGTCTAGGAGAAAGCTTCCCCACTGCTGAAATCCCAGCATTCCAGCTCCAAATATCCTGTCTGGAATAGACTCCCAGCAGGAGTGGTTTAGGTACCTACTCTGTAGATCTTCAAAAGGAGACTGGATGCACACCTTGCTGGGGTTATTTGACCCCAGCAGTCTTTCCTACCCAGAGCAGGGGGCTGAACCCAATGATCTCATGGGGTCCCTTCCAGCCCTAAACTTCAGTGAATCTCCTCTCCTTTCTCTCAGCCGTGAAGAGGTAATGGGGACTGGGTCTGGAGAGACCAGCTCCAGCAGTGGCAGGGAAGGGCAGGGGAGGAGTCAGAAACTGCCAGGGCTCTGGCAGGGAGGGCTGCACCAGGTGCAGTGGGACCCAGCAGCTAGACAGCTAGCAGGCTGCCAGCCTCCTCCGTAGGGGCAGGGTGGGGAGGAGAGAGCAAAGCACGGTGAGGTCCTGGAAGACCTATGCTCCCCTGTCTCTGCATAAGTTTAAAAAAAATGAAACACCTCAAAACAGTACTATTTTGAAGTGCTTCAAAGACGTACATTTGTACAGCTTACCCTCTGAAACATTTCAATTGTTACTTCTATCTGCACCCAATGAATGAAGTAGACTCATGCCAGAGTTCTTGGCTCCGAGTGATTACTGAACAGCATTCAGCATAAGGGCCCTTGATATACATGAGATTCAGGCCTTACATAGTTAAGAATCGTGCTTTAGTTGATGGAGTCACCCCAAATAATGTAAAAAAGGAATGCCTCTGGCTGCAAAAGATGGTGCTCTGATGGGTTCATCAAGGACAACCAACCATTCTTTTTCTAACACCAAACTTACTTTTCACCATTACCAGAATGGAAGAACTACTGAGGCCTCATCAGACTTTTTCTTTTAAAGAAAAAATGTCAAAATGACTTTCAAAACGTTTTGTCATCCAGGCTTGCTTTACATAACATTTTGGCCTTTGAAATAATGAAGAAATATTTAACTGTGCAACACTTGTGTCCTCTCCTCATCAGCTAAACCAGCTTAGAATTGCCTAGTGTATATTTCATTTTCCATTGGAAAAATTAAACTACCACAACATTTTGTGTCTGCATGATATTTTTGTTGAAGGTAAGCATTTCATTACAGTAATTCCTAGTTATTTTTCAAGAGTAGAGCAGGCCAACATTTTAACATCAACACGTGTTAGAGAAGAAAAAAACGTTATTTACAAGTAAACTTTACTGCGTGCATGCACCAGAAATTCTTAGCCTGGCACAAGCTTTGTCAATACATGCCTGCGCTTGAAAAGTAAATATTTTCCCTTGGTTTTGGACTGGATCACATATTCACTTTAAATTTCCTGACTTCTTTTGTTATCATGACTATTGACCAATATATACAAAGAAATAATATATGAGAAATTACTTTTGTTGTTGGGGGGGGGGGGGGGACGAGCCAATTTTTTTGTGGGGGGGGGGGGGGGGCAATGACTAAAAATCCAAAAAGATCTAAGAACAAATTAACAAGCTGAAATAAATATTTAAAGATGTGCAGGTCCTACAATTTACGTAAATTCCAGACGTCTTGAAATTAAGTGGGACTGTATAACACCAGAACTAAAATTTTCTGGGTTTTCTTTAATATTTACAATTAATCACCTCACAAAAAGGTTTTTGTAATATGTTACAGTATTGATTAAACAAAAGCCAAAGCACAACACACACCTCACAAATCTTTCTGTGAGTAGTTTTACAAAATCATAGATCTCAAACCAGTTGTCTGCTACGCTCCCAGATCTGAAAAGAAAACAAAACAGATGAGTATATCTCAAATCAGAAAAATACAACAGTAAAGATCAACTTCAACCTTCCTATACAATCTAATGTTTTCAGGGGATATGGGGGGGCAGCTCATCACTGTAACTCATTCCTACATTATTTCAAATAATCTTCAATAGGATCCCACAAGTCCTGCAACACCATCTTCCTGTCACAATCTAATGCATGACTTTACACGTATAACATACAGTTGCAGAGAGTAAAGCTGTGCACAAGTTTTCCTGTGACACCCAGGGTTATAAATTAAAACAGACACACTCCCCCTTGCAAGCCCCAGGCCTGCATCTTCTCCACTCCACCCTGAAATTTTGCAAGCGCTTTCAGCAGCACCCTCCAAACAAACTTTATCTGCAAACAGGAGGACAGGGACTGCACATACCTGGGGGGGCTGAACAATTTTCAACAAGACTTCTGCTCTTCTCCCAGTAAGCATTGTTACTTGCAACGATTAGCAGGCATTTGTCTGTTTCAAACAATTTTTTTTTTTTTGGGAGGGAGAAGGCTAAAATCTTCTTGCTTGGTTCCTTTGGCTTTGACAGCATCAGAACATTTGATTTTGATGGGTTAGAAAAACAACCCCAGCCTTTCAGTTTGTTTTGTTTCACATCACGGTAAATGGCACCAGTTAAGTACAAAGATTATATTAAAAAAGCTAGGCCAGGGCAGGAAGTTTGCTCGGCATCAACACAAAACGGTTTCTAACTCATCAGAACGAAAGGTTTGGAAGTCTGCTATGGGAGGGCTTGGGGGACTGGAAGTGGGGGAGGGCTCTGCTCCCTGAGAAATGTTGCCTCCGAGTTCCTATTCAAAACCAATCTGGAAGCATCAAAATCTGAGGCAGAACCAAAAGTATCCAGCACCCCCCTCCCCCTTTCTCCCCCCGATGTGCTCCAGGCAGAATCTTCCTCCTCTTTCATCCAGAGCAGAGCCAGCTCTTGGCAAAAAGGAGTCTGTTTTGAACGGCAGGGCCACATGGCAGAAATCTCCACCCAAGCCAGAGGCAGAGGGCAGGCACTTGGGGACACAAGGCACCAGGGAAGGAACCTGCCACCACCTCCCAGCCCCCCGGGGGCAGGGGCGGAAGAAGCTGCCACATAACCCTGTTGCCTCTCCACGTGCTCCCCTGACACACTGACCCGGTGAGGCGTCACCTCCGCGCACCCAGGTGTCTCCCCAGGGCCCTGAAGGCCAGCTACCCCCTGCAGCCTCCCGCCCACCCCCTT